AAAATGGCGATCGAGAGAGAATCTAGTCATTCCCTTGACGCAATCACTTGTATAAACTAATTCAAAACTAGTCCACATGAATCACCAAATATCAGCATCATCTTCAAAGCTAACAAAATTTGATTTCTCAAGCACAGAACTAAAAGAACCAGTGAGCTTTTTATCCACAGACAGACAGAGAACTAATAGATTCAGCTTTGAAACACAAAAGATTCCCACTTTTGAAGATCCATTATTACAAAGAACCGAAAGATTCAACATTTTGTAAAGAAAACTAACAAAATAATCTCTAATTTGAGAACAAGAAGAGTTTAAAACAGAAAACCATATTCTCTGAAGATATGTCTGCAACCTGAAGAAATAGAATACAATTTCTCTCTCTCTCGTCATTAAAGTAATATGTTCACTAAGTGTAGTCAATTTTCATTAATTTTGAAACTGTGAAAAAGAAAACGGTAGTACACTCGAACCAGAGAGTTTGCTTCCTAATCTTACATCTTATCAACTGCAACAAAAAATTCATCTAGAAAGAAACTCTTCACGAACAGTGGAGGAATGAGAACACAATATCCATTGTAAGCAGATTCTAAAGCAGAATCAAGATAAGCAAATGTTGAGAGGCTCATTTTCAGTCTTGTGCGATGATGCGTTCGTAAAACAGAATGTAGGCCTGAGAACTCAGCACATCGTCAAGACGAACCTGATGGACAAAAGTATCATTTATGGAATACCAAACCCCCTGGCCTCCTCCTCTCACATAAGAAACGTAGTGACCATTTGTCATATTCCCGAAATGTTCAACCAATGTTGTGAGTCTGTAAGTCACCATGTCCTCTTTGCTACACATGATAAAACCAAAAAATCTCTTTGAAATATATGACAGGATTAATTAAACGATAGATCAAAATACTAAATTATATACCTTTTTTTATCCATCCACTGTGTAAGATTGATGTCCTCTTTGAAATCAACATGAGCATCTAATTTTCTTACCCTACCACTGACATCTTTGAGGAATCTCTTCAAATGAATCACCAAGACCTCAGGGGTTTTATTTATGAGTGTCCTTGAAGTTGTATCTCGCCTTGTAGCAGCCGAAACAGCAGTTTCGTTGTCCAACTGTAAACACTCAGGGCAATTCCAAGCATCTTCATCGGGAAAAACCTCAAGCTCAGTGTAATGATCCAAACATCTCTCAATAGACACTGAATCTGAATCTTCAGGATCAGATCCGCTGGCTTCCAAAGCTTCACTCTGTTTTACACTTTCTGAGACCTCCTTATTGCCAAGGCCGGTTACAACATTATCAGTATCCATTGGCACACTCTCAGGGTCTTCTTTTTGGGAAGCCTTAAATTTCTTTCCTGGAGAAACAGTTTGCTGCATTTTCTTAGGGGTTTTCTTGAATGATATAGCTACAGAGAGATCCATAAATGGCTCATATTCTACACTGACATGCTCGCATACCATACAAGAAAGAGTCCTCGAAGTTTCCCCTGCAAATACAGAATCTACCAGAGTAGATGTAATATCAGAAACACCACGCATTTTTCTCAAGGCCGATTCTTCTGTGTGCAACGAATCTAGCAAATATCTTAGTAGCTCATGACTGTCCTGCTGCTGAAAACCTTTAAACTGTGGTGCATTATCACAGAACAACCTATAAAACTCTGTAGGATCAATACTTGTGGACCTCAAGCCTGCCTTGGTTTCAGTAAATAACTTTTGAAGGGAACAAGCTAGAGGCCCTTCACACACATCCTCTTTCATGAAGAAGTTGCGCAAGGGATCTAAGGACATAAGACTTTGCATAATCGCATTAAAGAAACAAGTGTTTCCAGGGTTGACAAAACCTCGGACAACATATCCATCCCTTGCTTCAACACCAGTTGAAGATAACCCATGAGAAGCCTCCCATATTTTGGCCATACTCAATACCTTAGTACTAGATTTCATGTATAATGGCTGCTTCTTGGTGTTCTTGGGAGGGGTTTTCTTTGAGATTTCATCAAGTTCGGGTTTCTGTGACCTATCCACAGGTGCTGTTTCATCTACTTTTACCTCAATGGGAACCATGGATGCAATCAGTTCATCTATATCTACTTGATCGGCTTTCAAAGCTACATATATGAGAGCAGCTAAACACAAGACATTGTTTCCATTTGAATCCTTGCTTACTTGATCGATGATCTTGTGTATGAGGGGATTCGATTTCTGCATCTCTGCTTTGGGCTTGATGAAGAGGCATATTATGGTCATGGCGAGAGCGAAGACGAAACCGGCGAGAAAATATGCCCAGAAATCGTGAGCAAGAACCAAAACAGAGGACCCAATTGTAGTTATACCTGCAGCTAAACTCAACTCGGCGAATATGCGATTTCTGGGCACTTTGACCCGAATCCATCCATCGGCAAGTGAAGAAGAAGCATGTACAACGGCCGCAACTCCAGCAACAATGAAATATATCCGTTTATCTTTATCAGTGAGAAGCTCTGAACCATGGCCACTGAAGAAGACCATTAAGATCGTTAGGGAGTTGAAGATGACCAGGCTGTTCTTCGTCAAGGTAATCTCAAACTCGTAATTAGTGTAGAGATTCCCCCAATTCGTGAATCCCATAAACCAAGACGAATTCACTTTCCTGCGAAGTAAGTGAAAGAGAAATAGAAACCAAGATGGAGGCGTCTTCATCATTTTCTCGAGAAAATTTTGCAAGAAAGTGTAAAGTTGAGAGAGGAAGAGAAAGTAAGAGACGAGCGGGAGGAAGAAGATGGTGATTTTATGGTTATTTAACAATAAAATTATTGCCACGTCAGTCCGTGCAGTTACGGAGGTTAGAGTGAGCCGGCTCGAGAAATATAGACCGTCCGATTCAAATTGGTGCGATCAAACCAAACCAATACTTGCTTAACCGATGGAAAGATAAACCGGGCTTGGGCCTCTTAAAGCCCAGTTTATTAT